TGATCACCATGTATAATACATAAGGGGGGATATGATCACCATGTATAATACATAAGGGGGGATATGATCTCCATGTATAATACATAAGGGGGGATATGATCTCCATGTATAATACATAAGGGGGGATATGATCTCCATGTATAATACATAAGGGGGGATATGATCTCCATGTATAATACATAAGGGGGGATATGATCTCCATGTAAAATACATAAGGGGGATATGATCTCCATGTATAATACATAAGGGGGGATATGATCTCCATGTATAATACATAAGGGGGGATATGATCTCCATGTATAATATATAAGAGGGGATATGATCTCCGTGTATAATACATAAGGGGGATATGATCTCCATGTATAATACATAAGGGGGGATATGATCTCCATGTATAATACATAAGGGGGGATATGATCTCCATGTATAATACATAAGGGGGGATATGATCTCCATGTATAATACATAAGGGGGGATATGATCTCTATGTATAATACATAAGGGGGATATGATCTCCATGTATAATACATAAGAGGGGGAAATGATCTCCATGTATAATACATAAGGGGGGATATGATCTCCATGTATAATACATAAGGGGGGTATAAATACCATGTATCATAAGGGGGGTATAAATACCATGTATCATAAGGGGGGTATAAATACCATGTATAATACATAAGGGGGATATGATCTCCATGTATAATACATAAGGGGGGATATGATCTCCATGTATAATACATAAGGGGGGATATGATCTCCATGTATAATACATAAGGGGGATATGATCACCATGTATAATACATAAGGGGGGATATGATCTCCATGTATAATACATAAGGGGGGGATATGATCTCCATGTATAATACATAAGGGGGATATGATCACCATGTATAATACATAAGGGGGGGATATGATCACCATATATAATACATAAGGGGGATACGATCTCCATGTATAATACATAAGGGGGGGATATGATCTCCATGTATAATACATAAGGGGGATATGATCACCATGTATAATACATAAGGGGGGGATATGATCTCCATGTATAATACATAAGGGGGATATGATCACCATGTATAATACATAAGGGGGGGATATGATCACCATATATAATACATAAGGGGGGATATGATCTCCATGTATAATACATAAGGGGGATATGATCACCATGTATAATACATAAGGGGGATATGATCACCATGTATAATACATAAGGGGGGATATGATCTCCATGTATAATACATAAGGGGGGATATGAGCTCCATGTGTAATACATAAGGGGGGATATGATCACCATGTATAATACATAAGGGGGGATATGATCACCATGTATAATACATAAGGGGGATATGATCTCCATGTATAATACATAAGGGGGGATATGATCTCCATGTATAATACATAAGGGGGATATGATCTCCATGTATAAATACATCAGTGGTTCATATAGTGAACTCGGTGTAGAGATATTCACCCTGAGGTCATCACAGAGGACAAGGGGGCACTCTTTACATCTGGAGGAAAAGAAATGTAATCTCCAAACACGGAAAGGTTTCTTCACAGTAAGAGCTGTGAGAATGTGGAATAGACTCCCTCAAGAGTTGGTTGTGGCCAGCTGAGTGGATTGCTGTAGGAAAGTCCTGGATTGTTTCTTAAATACACAGAATATAACTGGATACTAACATTTATAGGTAAAGTTGATCCAGGGAATATCCGATTGCCTCTCGGGGGATCGGGAAGGATTTTTTTCCCCTACATTAGCAAATTGGATCGTGCTTTGCTGGTTGTTTTTGCCTTCTTCTAGATCAGCTGTGGGTATAGGATTATAACTTTTTTTTTTTAATGATTGAACTGGATGAACTTTTGTCTTTTTCAGCCAGACTATGTAACTACGTAACACTGCTCTGCCCCTATACAAGCTGACATATATTGAGGTTGGCCCTGGAAATATGATAAGGCCTGGCAGTCATGGGTGTCCAAGCTGGATGGGTCTGGTTAGGCCCTTCCCTATCCAGCTGAAAGTTTGGTGGTGTATGTGCGCCCCTTGACTCTCACTGATATTTTCTATGTATCCCCCCTTAATGCCCATGCTCTCCTGTTTCCCCCCTCCTTCTCCCTCCCCCCCTTTACATTCCCCTTCTTTGTGGAGCTAGAGCTAATCTTCATACTGCGACTGTTCTGGTCGCACCCACGAGTGATGTATTACATTCTGCATGTATCTATGTGGTGACGCTGGATATTTGCAGACATGATGTGTGCTCCTTTAAGCTTCTATATTATGCCATGTCAACTGTTTTGTTTTTCTGTTCCAATGTCACGTGTCATGTCTTTCTTTACCCACTTACCCTCTAGAGGAGGAGTTAAATAATTGCATCCTATCTAGCAATGTATATTGAATACGTTCCATGAGCATGACCAGATCAACTCTACTCAAAACAGAGGACAAAGGCACTGCTGGTGACCTCCAATGAAGAGAAAGTCCCATAGGGTAGAGACACAGATAGTATGAATTAGCCTCCTTATGTTGGTTGGGATCCCCAAAATGGGAGATCCCAATAGGTTTCCACCACATTTAAAAGCATCTGGTGTGTAGCTGAGTCCACCAACCCTCCCCAGACCACATCTAGGCAGGCACCAACCGAACAAGGCCCCTCCAAAAAGGCACTGAGGCCTCACTGATAGCCACAATGGGGAACTACATAACAAAAATAGTAGCAATAATTACAACCAAAAAAAAAAATTATATTGTTTCTGTATAAAAAGTAGCCAATAGGTCTAATAAAACACCCACCATTGCTAGTACAGGTGCAGGTTCTATCACCGCAAGTATTGTTTGATAACTAATAGCTCCATACATGGAAAGGTCCTCCAGCTTTTTAAAAGAGAATAATCCAGGAAAAACCTGGAAGAACCTGGGAAAAACTTTCTTCCAGTTTTTTCCTGGATTAGTTTCTTTGATGTTTGAGGACCCAAGCTACCAAGCGGCTCCTTCGGTGGTAGCAATACATGTCCTTATAGACTTTTTCTCTCTAATTTAACTTCTGAAGAAGGTGGACCAGTGGTCAGAGAAACAGGAAAAGCTTTTCTCATCCAGATGTTCCCGTCATGTTCTTCATTGACATTTTGGATACTGTTTAAAGGATAATATAGCAAGACGATCTATTTAAATATGATATAGTCAACAATGTTTTGGTTTTGAGGTTTGTTTAGATCTTTTTTTTTTTGTGGTTTCAGATCCTGTGGTTGAACCTGATTTAACAACTGCAGATTTTCCAGGTAAAGTTTGATGTTTTTCATAATGTCCAGGTTGTAATTATGCCCCCAATTGTAAGCTCTCTACACCTTCTATATGCTTGTAAATCTTTCTCGATTTTTAAAATCTTTTTATCAAAAAGTCCTTTATTTGTTCTACAAGGATGTTGGGCCCCTGTGTTTTTACTGTAAATTGGGGAGTCCTTCAAATGTTCAGAAAAGGTTTGTGTGTTTTCAAGTTGAAATTTGATAAAACATTATCAGAAGAATCCGTGAACTGCTTTCCCACATGGAAGAAAAATATATTTGAAATATATTTTAAACATACTATTCCCAAATATATTTCAAATGATACAATTTTCAAAATAGATTTATATATATATATATATATATATATATATATATATATATACACACTGGATGTTAAAATGCGTTTTTATTACAAGATAACAAGATATAGGAAAATTATTTTTAAAAAATATACATGTATATTTTTTAAATATACTCTTCAGATTTTTTTTAACATATAAAAAAAGTCATTTTAACATATATTTTTACATATATGTGCAAATGCAGTCCAAAAATGTAGATTTGTATTTTTAAAGAAATACAGTATATTTGAAATGTATTTTTGAAAATATTTTTCATATATTTTGTAATAAAAAAAAATTTCAACATGTAGTGTATATATATATATATATATATATATATATATATATATATATATATTTCCCAAATATATTGATATATATTTCAAATTCTACAATTTTTAAAATAGATTTTTATATATATATATATATATATATATATATATATATTTTAAAAATTGTAGAATTTGAAATATATATCAATATATTTGGGAAATATATATATATATATATATATATATATTAGTGCATGTTGAAATGCGTTTTAATTAGAAAATATAAGAAAATTATTTTAAAAAATACATATTTTTTAACTATACTCTTCAGATTTTTTTTTAACATATAAAAAAAGTCATTTTGACATATATTTTTACATAAATGTGCAAATGCAGTCCAAAAATGTAGATTTGTATTTTCAAAGAAATACAGTATATTTGAAATGTATTTTTGAAAATATTTTTCATATATTTTGTAATAAAAAAAATTTCAACATGTAGTATATATATATATATATATATATATATATATATATTTCCCAAATATATTGATATATATTTCAAATGCTACAATTTTTAAAATAGATTTTTATATAAATATATATATATATATATATATATATATATATATATTTTTTTTTTTTTTTTTTTTTTTCTTTTTTTCTATTTTTTTTTTTTTAAACTGTAGAATTTGAAATGTATATCAATATATTTGGGAAATATATATATATATATTATATATATATATATATATATATATATATTTTTTTTTTTTTTTAACATATACAAAAGTAATTTTAACATATATTTTTGCATATATTTGTAAATGCAGTCCAAAAATGTAGATTTGAATTTTTAAAGAAATACAGTATATTTGAAATGTATTTTTGAAAATATTTTGTAATAGAAAAAAATTTCAATATGTAGTATATATATATATATATATATATATATTTCCCAAATATATTGATATATACCGTATTTGCCGGCGTATAAGACGACCCCCTACTTTTTCTGTTAAAATATAGGGTTTGAGCTATACTCGCCGTATAAGACTACCCCTCTTCCAACACACACCAAATAAAAATGAAAAAACATCAGATTTGATTTCAATATGGTATGCTATTTCAGTATGGTATTCCAATGATGGGGTGCTATTCCTCCCACTGACACCAATGATGGGGCACAATTCCTCGCTCTGACACCAATGATGGGGCACTATTCCTCCCACTGATACCAATGATGAGGCACTACTCCTCCCACTGACACCAATGATGGGGCACTATTTCATCCACTGACACCAATGATATGGCACTATTCCTCCCACTGATACCAATGATGGTGCCCCATCATTAGTGTCAGTGTGTGAGGAATAGTGTCCCATCATTAGTGTCAGTGGGAGGAATAGTGCCCCATCATTAGTCAGTGGGAGGAATAGTGCCCCATCATTGGTGTCAGTGGGAAGAATCGTGCCCATCATTGGTGTCAGTGGGAGGAATAGTGTCCCATCATTAGTGTCAGTGGGAGGAATAGTGCTCCATCATTGGTGTCAGTGGGAGGAATAGCGCCCCATCATTGGTGTCAGTGGGAGGAATAGCGCCCCATCATTGGTATCAGTGGCAGGAATTGCGCCCCATCATTGATGTCAGTGGGAGGAATAGCGCCCCATCATTGATATCAGTGGAAGGAATAGTGTCCCATCATTGGTGTCAGTGGGAAGAATCGTGCCCATCATTGGTGTCAGTGGGAGGAATAGCGCCCCATCATTGATATCAGTGGAAGGAATAGTGCCCCATCATTGGTGTCAGTGGGAAGAATCGTGCCCATCATTGGTGTCAGTGGGAGGAATAGTGTCCCATCATTAGTGTCAGTGGGAGGAATAGTGCCCCATCATTGGTATCAGTGGGAGGAATAGTGCCCCATCATTGGTGTCAGTGGGAGGAATAGCGCCCCATCATTGGTATCAGTGGCAGGAATTGCGCCCCATCATTGGTGTCAGTGGGAGGAATAGCGCCCCATCATTGATATTAGTGGAAGGAATAGTGCCCCATCGTTGGTATCAGTGGCGGGGAAAAGTGCCCCATCATTGGTATCAGTGGGGGAGGAATAGTGTCCCATCATTGGTATCAGTGGGGAGAATAGTGCCCCATCATTGGTGTCAGTGGGGGGGGGGGATAGTGCCCCATCGTTGATGTCAGTGGGGAGGAGGAATAGTGCCCCATCGTTGGTGTCAGTGGGGGAGGAACAGTGCCTTATCGTTGGTGTCAGTGTGGAGGAGGAATAGTGCCTCATCGTTGGTGTCAGTGGGGGAGGAATAGTGCCTCATCGTTGGTGTGAGTGGGGGAGGAATAGTGCCCCATCATTGGTGTCATTGGGGAGGAGGAATAGTGCCCCATCGTTGGTGTCAGTGGGGGAGGAATAGTGCCCCATCGTTGGTGTCAGTGGGGGAGGAACAGTGCCTCATCGTTGGTGTCAGTGGGGGAGGAACAGTGCCCCATCGTTGGTGTCAGTGGGGGAGGAACAGTGCCTCATCGTTGGTGTGAGTGGGGGAGGAATAGTGCCCCATCATTGGTGTCATTGGGGAGGAGGAATAGTGCCCCATCGTTGGTGTCAGTGGGGGAGGAATAGTGCCCCATCGTTGGTGTCAGTGGGGGAGGAATAGTGCCCCATCGTTGGTGTCAGTGGGGGAGGAACAGTGCCCCATCGTTAGTGTTAGTGGGGGAGGAACAGTGCCTCATCGTTGGTGTCAGTGGGGGAGGAACAGTGCCCCATCGTTAGTGTTAGTGGGGGAGGAACAGTGCCTCATCGTTAGTGTTAGTGGGGGAGAGGTATAGTGCCAAGAGTGTCACAGCATGGTGCTGCTGCACACTTACTGGCCGCTCCCTCACTCGATTTTCGTGGGGCCGCTCGGCTCCGCCTCCTCACCGGTGATTGGTCGCCTGTGTGCCTTTCTAGTGCTGGCGCCCAATCACCAGTGAGTAGGCGAAGCCGAGCGGGCCCGCGCGACCATCGAGCGGGCCGAACTGAAAGAAGGAGCAGCCACGCTTCCTGGACCGGATCGTCGTGGGACCGGGACCGGAGCCAGGTAAGGTACAGAAGCCCCCTGCCCGCCCCTGTACTTAGTGTCCCTTCCGCCACCGCGCCCGCCCCTTCGAAAAAGTGCCGCCTTGACACCGGCTCGCTGTATGCCCGTGTATAAGACGACCCCCTACTTTTCAGAAGATTTTCATGGGTTAAAAAGTCGTCTTATACGCCGGCAAATACGGTATTTTCAAATTCTACAATTTTTAAAATAGTATATATATATATACTGCATGTTGAAATGCGTTTTAGTTACAAAATATAGGAAAATTATTTTAAAAAATATATATTTTTTAACTATACTCTTCAGATTTTTTTAACATATACAAAAGTAATTTTAACATATATTTTTGCATATATTTGTAAATGCAGTCCAAAAATGTAGATTTGAATTTTTAAAGAAATACAGTATATTTGAAATGTATTTTTAAAAATATTTTTCATATATTTTGTAATAAAAACACATTTAAACATGTATTATATATAAATATTTATTGAAATATATTTTGAAATATATTGAATATAGTCAAAATTGTAGCATTTCAAATATATGGCAATGTAATTGGGAAGATTGTAAAAAATATATTTAAAATATATTTTTCTTCCATATGGGTTGCCACCGGCCTATAGCAGAAATACTGCTACAGGGCGGCAGGGGTGCATAAAATCACGTATATATACGTAATTTTGCATTTGCCCTACCTGCACCACCATTCGTGGCCTCGGCTGTCAATCATCGGGTCCCATCAGGTGATTACTCGCCGGCAGCCAGTGATCGCCGAGTAATACAGTAATACTGTAAACAATAGAGTTCTCTCCCATGTGAGCTCCTGCACACTGCTTTGTATGACTCTGCATAGCACAGTCATACAAAGCAGCGTGCTTAGAGTGTAAAGCACACAGACACAGCCCCCTATTGAAACACATCCATCACACTAACCCTTTGATCATCCCACATGTTACCCCTTCCTGCCCAGTGCCATTAGTACAGTGTCAGTGCTTCTTATTAGCACTGATCACTGTATTGGTGTCACTGGGGATGTCAGTGACAGTCATTTCCCCCCCAGTGTCAGAATGCCCGCCACAGTCCCACTATAAGTCTCTGATCGCCACCATTACTAGTAAAAAACAAAATCCCAGTATCTATACCACCATTTTTAAACGTTATAACTTTCACAAAAACCAATTTACATGTATTGGGATTTTTTTTCAGCAAAGATATGGAGCAGAATACATTTTGGCATAAATTTATGATGAAATTTAATTTTTAAAAATTTTTTTACTGGACATGTTTTATAGCAAAAAGTCAAAAATATTGTTTTTTTTTCTAAAAATTGTTGGTCTTTTTTTGTTTATAGCGCAAAAAAATAAAAACCGCAGAGCTGATCAAATACCACTGAAAGAAAGCTCTATTTGTGGGGGGAAAAAGGACATACATTTCATTTGGGGTGCAGTGTTGCATGACCGCGCAATTGTTAGTTAAAATAACGCAGCTCTGTAACGCAAAAAATGGCCTGGTCAGGAAGGGGGGGAATCCTCTGGAGGGCGCGGGGTTAAATGTTGTATATATTCAGCACCACAATCCAGTAATCTATATCAAGGTCATATTAACCACTTCAATACCAGACACTTTCACCCCCTTCCTGTCCAGGCCAATTGTCAGCTTTCAGCGCTGTCACACTTTGAATGACAATTGCGCGGTCATGCAATGCTTTATCTAAACAAAATTTGTATCAATTTTTTCACACTAATAGAGTGCCCTGATGATCAGTGCCCAGCAGTGCCACCCACCAGTGCCACCCATCTGTGCCCAGCAGTGCCTCCCACAAGTGCCACACACCTGTGCCCATCAGTGCCCTGGAATGCCATCCACCTGTGCCCAACATTGCCACCCGCCAGTGCCAAGCAGTGCCACCCATCAGTGCTGCCCATTAGTGCCACCCATCAGTGCCCATCAGTGCCGCTAGACAAGTGCCATCAGTCAGTGCTACCCATCAGTGCCACCTATCAGTGCCTATCATTGTTGCATATCAGCGCCAGCTCATCAGTACTGCCTATCAGTGCTGCCTATCAGTGCCCATCATTGCCACCTATCAGTGCCCATCATTGTTGCATATCAGTGCCAGCTCATCAGTGCCACCTATCAGTACCAACTGATCAGTGCTGCCTATCAGTCCCCATTAGTGCTGCCTTTCAGTGCCCGTCAGTGCTGCCTATCAGTGCAGCCTCATCAACGCACATCAGTGAAGGAGAAAAATTACCTGTTTGCAAAAGTTTATAATAGAAACAGAAAAAAACTTTTTTTTTTCAAAATGTTTGCTCTTTTTTTGTTTATAACGCAAAAAATAAAACACCCAGCGGCTAGTACATACCACCAAAAGAAAGCTCTATTTATGTGAAAAAAATGATAAAAATTTCACATGTGTGCAGTATTGCATGACCACGCAATTTTCATTCAAGGTGCGACAGCGCTGAAAGCTGAAAATTGACCTGGGCAGGAAGGGGGTAAAAGTGCCCGGTAGGCAAGGGGTTAAAGGCATCAGTAAATGGGCAAAAAATATCCATCTTTATTGAACATAGATTTGTTTAAAAATATCAACCATAAATCATTATATGGACGGTTACTTGAAGGTAAATACAATATCACCACACAAAGGTATATCAACATTACAGAGTTCCTGAATAACCTCCGACACGTTTCAGAGTAAGTCTCCTTCTTCAGGGATGAGATCTGTACATAGGTGATATAGCCTCTAGAAGCCTCTAGAAGCTGCAACATACATATTTAGATCATACAGCAATTCTATCAGCAATTGTATACAACATCATTATGTAAACATCAAATATACAATACTCACAACGTAATACAGTGAGAGACAAAAAAAGGAAAAGGTTTCCGCCACATTTATTTTTTTACAAATGTTTTTATTAGGAGATAGACAACAAAAACAGCACCACTTCATGAAGTATAGTATACATCAAGAAAAAGGCACATAAGTAAAAAAAAAGTAAAACAGAATCATAGAAAAAGAAAGTTGGAGTACATGAATGAGGTAGGCAGGAAGATATACTGAACAACTACACAACCAACAAAGATACCATGCCAATCAATCTATGATAACCCATCATTCTAACAATAAATGCCGAAATGTCTTCCAACCATCCCATTTTCTGTTGAATAATTTCATCCTATCTAGCAATGTATATTGAATACGTTCCATGAGCATGACCAGATCAACTCTACACAAAACAGAGGACAAAGGCACTGCTGGTGACTTCCAATGAAGAGCAATGTCGCATAGGGTAGAGACACAGTATGAATTAGCCTCATTATGTTGGTTGGAATCCCCAAAATGGGTGATCCCAATAGGTTTCCGCTATATTTAAAAGCATCTGGTGTGTAGCTGAGTCCACCAACCCTCCCCATACCACATCTAGGCAGACACCAACCGAACAAGGACCCTCCAAAAAGGCACTGAGGCCTCACTGATAGCCACAATGAGGAACTACGTAACAAAAATAGTAGCAATAATTACAACCAAACAAAAAAAGTTATATCGTTTCTGTATAAAAAGTAGCCAATAGGTCTAATAAAACACCCACCATTACTAGTACAGGTGCAGGTTCTATCACCGCAAGTATTG